GCTGACAATGACCTCAAATGACACAGACGACACTATTTTCGAAATCTACGAGGAAAATGGACCATTAAACATGCGTCGTGTGATCGATACATGATATACAATTTTCGTGACCTAGGATGACCTGACCTTGACCTTCAAAATTCGAAGTAAAAGTTCATTACCCTCAGGGTATCTAGGGCATCTATCAAGGAGTGCGCAAACCAAAAATGAGCCTGATCGGACTTGTTAGCCGGCGGTCAGAGCCCAAATTGTGAACTAGCAAAAATGTCGATAATTTTTACTTTGACCTGATCTGTGACGTCACCGGTGACCTCGAGGTCAATGAAAATAGGTTTCGTTCGACAGTTTTCCCAGGGATATCAGACACCCTTTGAATTTTGACGATCGGCTCAGTGGTTTCGGAGAAAGGAGGGGAGCTCTGGAGAGCCCCCCCCCCCCCCCCACCCCAGTCACTCGCGGTATATGGAAAATACCCCAGTCATGCGCGGGTTAAGTTTTTTCCGCTAGAGTGGGAGAGTAAAAGATCCAACTATTAATGCAGTCATGTGTAATACAAGCTCAAAGAACTCCAAGTAGTTGCAAATCATAAATCAATGATAGATAACTGCGGCAAAACAATTGGAAATCTCAGGCTACAGCCACTCTAGCAGTACCTACCACAGTGCCCAGGTCTCCGTAGACGGCCAGCCGGGGGCTCCAGTCGCTTCCCTCCTGCATGGGTCGGAACCAGAACACCTCGGACCATCCGGCCGGACCGAGCACCTGGTAGACGTGCCGCTCCCCCGGACACAGACCGGTCAGAGACACGCTGAAAAGAACGAAACCACCAGTGATAGAGCATGGAAACGAGTTTCTGTTTGCTATACCACAGATAACAGTAGTACTACTGTTATCTGTGGCTATACGGTAGCTAAAGGAAACACATGATCAACCTGATGTGTTATATAGCCTGAGATAATATCTGAGAATAAAATGGGACATCCAGCTTAGAAGCGTCCAAACAGATAAACATCCTAATTCCTGGCGCCGGGTAGGAGCATCTTTGGTGTTGATGTCATGCATAGGTGTCATGCTTGGGCACACGACGACTTTCTAAGGATATCCCGGCTTTAAAGGAAATACACCACTCTTAACAGGGATTTTTGAACTGGAATACCATAACAGTTTTCAAGGTACGTTTTTTCCACTACTAGTTGTTTATTGCTTTCGTTTCGAATTTTCGACCTTCGCATCGAGGTCGTTGTCAAGAAACATATAACAATGACCAACTGCAACAGGACGGTCTGTGGCCGAAGCCTTCGTAAAAGCTTGAAATCATAAATAACAGCTTTGTAGCTTGAGCTGAGACAAGCACAATTCTGAAGCTTTTGCACCCCAACGATCACCCTAGCCAAAGATATATAGACTTTTGTTCCGAAATCATTTTCCTACCGAGGAAATGTTGTATCCGGACCGGCCGGACCGACCGAGTTGAAGCAAAAAAAGTCATGTATTTTTGGAATACATTGTGTTGTTATAAATACAATGCATCCAGCTTACCTGTCTGTGTCCCCCGCTATTCAAAGTCGGTGGCGCCGCCCCTGATCAAAACCATGAAAAACAGAAAAAAAAAACGAAAACGAAGGAACACTTGAATTAAATTGACTTGAAGAAAAAAAAGTACTCACGTACTTCGCACAGATTTAAGCCGCGAAAGAACTCGATCAGCATAAGAGATAATGCATTATAGGAATAAGATGTGTTGTTACAATTGCAATGCTTACCGATGAATGTATTGAAGGTGAGTTCCGTTTTCATCCTGAGCAAACGGAGTGGTAATGCCTTCCACCTGCCAAAGGCAGCACCAAACCCTTAAAAGAGTAGAAGGCAACAAAACAATTTCCTAGATGCTGTAACATACAATGGTACTCTCCGTTAGTTTTTCCCTACCCGGCAATGCTCAGTTCACTATTTTTCCGTTCTTACCAGTGTGTCGGGCTGGTCTGTGCCGTATCTGGCCGAAGCCTTCACCGGCTGGAAGGTGCTGTAGGTGACCTGGATGGTGGTGACGTCATCGGTGAAGGACAGGTGAATCTGTTCCGCGCCGCTGTTGTCGGCTGCCGAACACCCTTTTCCCAGAACTGCCACCAGCAGTAGCAGTGTCGATGGCGGCATGCTTAGTTTGGTTTATCCCTATTGAGGAAATAATCTGTAGCAGAGCAAAACAGACGTCAAGTTGTATTGCGCCTTTAGCTTCCTTCATTACTTAGTTGAAGTTGGAAAGTTACTTAGTTGAAGTGAAGCGGCCTAGTTGAAATGGAAACCAAGTTAGAACATATTTTTAGAAAATAACTTCACAAACACGAAGTTGAGTAATTATTAATTGCTCTGTCTGTCAAATGACCTCAGAGTAAGTCACCGACACAAATTAACACGAGCTCTGGGTTGTTACCTGGTGGCAGCCGGCTGAAGTCTGGAGGGTCACTTTCTACAGGTCATCCACCCTACCGACTAGGCAGGCGAGCGGCCAGCAGGGACGAAGTCTGACAGAGTACGAGCAGATAGCAATGGCTTGGCGGTGCTTTATCTGCCGAGGGACGTGGGAGCGGTCGCATATTTTGCGCCGGCGACACACCTGACGAGTTCACTTCCCGACATCATATCAAATGCCTCATTTTTTATGTCGAAGGCTCATTTGTGACCTCTGGCGACCTGACCTTTGACCTGACCTAAAAATGGCCAAGTGTTTTGTGAATTATTTTTTGGCGCATTTTCGAATGCCGCTTACCGCGTGCCGTTACGTGGCCCAGGAGTCGAGTTAGACGGGGGTGTTCAGACACCCCCGCCCCGCGCGGGTTAATCATGTCTTTGTCCTGAAACTTCAAATATTATGCATACTTCTTGAATTAGAGGACGTGGTTCCACCTTCTAAAATGTGACAGGAACGATCGGCGCAGCGGTTCTGGAGATATATCGAAAAGTCTATATTAACCCCACCAGGGTGCGGGTTAACCCGCGCCCCGTTGGGCTCTGCCGAGCAACGCGCCCGGTTGGGGGGGGGGCCATTTTGGCCCCCCCCCCCCTAAGATCTCGAGAACCACGCAACATAGCGACAAGCGGTAAACGGCGTTGGATAGCCCCAACGGGGAACTACCTTGTGACCCAATTTTATTGACCTAGGTCAAACCGATGACGTCACAGGTCAGGTCAAAGGTCCAATTTTCACCGTTTACAGGCACTTCAAGAAATGCGTTGTAAAATCGAGTAAAATGCATTTCATTGAAAATCATCGATGGGGAAATGTTCTTCAAACACATATTTTGCTATTTGAGGTCACTGATACCAGGTCAGGTCACAGAGGTCAGGTCACGGGGGGGTCACAATATGAAAGTGTCGTGTGATACATGTTTTATGGTCCATTTTACATGACAAATGCGATTATATGGGTCAGGCAGCCTTTGGGGCCAGCTTAGATCACGTTTTGGTCAAGGTCAGGTCAAGGTCAGGTCAAGGTCAGGTCAAATTAGGTCAAATTTCAAAGTTAATATTTTTGCATAAAATGGGTATCGAATCGATGCAGCTCGTCACGGGGAGTTCAATGGTGGTCTTTGTTTTGCCGTACGTGGTCTAGAATTGCTAAAAATTGAGTTCAAAAATTTGACGTCATCATTTTTGAACAGTTTTTTCGCTATAACTTGGCCAAAAAACAAGATATCGATCTGAAATTTGGTATGTATATAGAAGAGCGCTGGGACTATCACATATATTCCGGTTTTTTTCGAAATTCGGAAAAATTTTGGATTTTTTCAAAGTTTTTCTAAAAAAATCAATTTTTTGAATTTTTTTTGGTCAAAAACCAAAAATTTTGAAAATCCGAGATAGCAGTTTTGTAGCGCCGCTTTTTGTCTACTAGACCATATAAAGAACTTTGAAATTGCTTGATAAGTGTAGATTTGGTGAGCGTTTCAAGATTGCATGTTTTTTGCTCATTTTTGCTCGAACATGACCTCAGTTTGACCTCAATAACTCCTGACCTAAGGTGACCTAAGACTTGAAATTTGGTGTGAAGGTGTCAAATTGATGCCCGGGAAGGTACTGAAAATTTGGCGGCGCTGCGCGCCGCCGTTTTCTTGCTATTCAGGAAAAACCACAGGGGGGGGGCCAAAATGGCCCCCCCCCAACGGGGCGAGGGTTAATGCTCGTTGATCGGCAGTTACCCGAGGAGGATTACTTGCTGACCTCCCATTCTGAGTAATATCCCTAAATTTCACGCACACAGACACAAACCTGGATACAATTGAAAACTGGACTTTTAGTTTCAAAGATATGATGTTTGGCTTTGTAAGTCTCACCCCCCCCCCCCTCCCCCAACGTACGAATATATCTCACACATACATATACAGATTGATTAGGAAACATGGAAAATTGGGTACCCAATCAGCGGTGTGTGGGACTGTTTGTGGTTGACATTCGTAAAAATCCCTGCACTTACGCACTCACACGTACAAACAGACCCTCACACCCTCACATACACACTATGCGCGCCACCCGAGGTTGTGTTTCGAGCAAAAATGACCACTGGCGTGTACAAAGACACAAAGCATGCACAAAGGCTGCTTGCACAACTGGATATGAAGTGCAATCGTGGGCCGTTTTGTTGTTATAAGGTCATTGTTTTGAGATAAAAGAAAACGTGTCAAGGTTGGACAAGGAACAGCCAGCAGACTTTTCCATATGCTGATGCCTGTTGACAAGCCAGTAGCCACAAACCACTTCAACTCGCCTTTCTCAGGCCTCTCTCCTTCCCTCTATATCTAACACCTTTGTGTATCCTAGCAACTCTCTCCCCCCTCCCTCGGTTCCACTCCGAGACACATCTCCGGCCGTCGGCAGTGCCTTCTTTCCTCTCGAAAATCGATGGCCGTCGCTGCCGGCGCTCGTCGTTGCGGCCCCGGCGCCTGCGTAGCCTGCTCGTCGTCGTCGTCGTCGGCGGCGGCGGCGGCGGCGGCGGCGGCGGCCGTGGTCGAAGAGAGGCAGCGGCGGCGACGGCGGCGGGTCTGGCGTCGCCCTCGACGATGGCACAGTCGACGCAAAGACAGAGACTGAGGTGAGAGGCAGAAAATATTCGCAGACCAGGTAATCGTAGGTATATGTGTATCCTGATCTGTGAAAATGAGCCAGGGATCTGAGCACACGGATCTTGGTTTGATATCTCGTAAGTCATAAACAGCTCTTTCATTTCGTCGAGGGACTTGCTAAAATTACAGTACGAGACATGGTATTGTCAAGAGATCCACTGTGGGCTCGAGAGGCCATCACCCTGAGCGTCTGCTGAGGATCTCAGGATTGATCAATCATCATGTTTTGGTCGCTACCAAAATGTGATTTTTTTGTCTAAAGAGCATGTGTTGCAATTGCAATCGTACATACTAATTTCCTGTACTCTTGTGATGACTTTGTTAAGCATAGTTATCATGTTTTGGTCAATCATCGTGTTTTGGTCGCTACTCGCTACCAAAATGTGATTTTTTGTCTAAAGAGCATGTGTTGCAATTGCAATCGTACATATTAATTTCCTGTACTCTTGCGATGACTTTGTTGAGCATAGGAGTAATTCACCATTGTATGGCATTGATTAACTTGGAATTACCTTAGAGCTTTTTCTGGGTGCTGTGAAAGCTACACACCCCCGAGAGCTTTGTCCTTATTGGCCTCCAAAGCCTATGGAACCTAAGCTCCAGCACTATGCATGTTCCAAGTGACCTGCTATTTGATCATAAATTGTAGCTTGCATTTGTCGTGACAATCATTGGGATCATACTTACCGCTCAGCTCTATGCAAATATCTGCTTTGAACAGCTCTCAGATTAATGGACCGTTAGTCGATTGTATGTGGACTGTCCGAGTGAAAGCTGCCTGTCCACAGTCATCTGTGGACTGGAACTGTGGACTGGCTGTAACAAACTGTGGACTGTCGTCTGTGACACATACGACAACTGTGGACTGGATATGACACCAACTGTGGACTGTTGTCTGTGGTCAACTGTCGACAGTCGTCTGTGGACCAACTGTGGACTGGCTGTGGCCAACTGTGGAGTGACTGTGGATGAATTACCTGATAATGTCGCTGGCTGTGAACTGTCCGACGTCCATGTGTTAAATTTAACCACATCTGTGCTAATTATGCACATAATAGGATCAGAGGTATACAATAAGCTTGCCCATAATGCGCTTAGCCTGCTATTTCCTGATCATACGAATTAACCAAAGAGATTTCCGGCGTGTTTCAACGTAATTTGATTTGGAATAGGTCGTTATGTGATTTGGCATATCAGTCATCAATAATTCCTACCAATAATTCCAAGCAATGGTCCCTCAGTGGTCTACGTCTTCTTTTACATACTGCTGATAGTCCAGTTGCGGGTTATGAACCAGCTTTGGAATTTATTCAGGCTTACTCATGTGATTTGTGTTATCAATGAGGTATGCCGAGACCAGACATACCTAAGTAGGTACAGGGTGTCCACATAAATTTGATACTCAGGTTTTCTGACATAAAATCTAAAATAAACATGTAATGATTCAAACAACGTTGTATTCCAAATCGAATGGCAAAACGAACGATATCCAACATAAAAGTTTACACTCAATCGTTCATTCGTTGCAGCCCCTCAAAGTAGGCGCACGATATATGGTTGTAGGCGCCATCCTGACGGACCACCTGTGACGCTTGGGCATGGACAGCAGTTGCACATGGTTAATCGTTTGCATGGTTAATTGACTGTCTCTTTCGTTTCTGGCGAATGTAAATCCTAAATGGATGATGTAAGAAGGCAGGCTTCAGTGGCAGACCTCGCTCAGCCCGCTCCGTGCAGGTTACCGGACAGGTGGAGCGGTCCATCACGGATAGCCCGGAGAGGTCTGGGTGGCACCGGGCTCAGTCTCGGACTGAGACGGATCCCTTTGCCGAACACAATCTTGCCAAAAACCTGCGTTTTCTTCCATTTAGGATTCAAGTTTGACAGAAACGGACGAAAGAAACAGTCGATTAACCGCAAACTGTGCGACTGCTGTCCATGCCAAAGTGTCCCAGGTGATCCTTCAGGGTGGCGCCTACCACATATCGTGCGCCCTACTTCGAGGGGCTGCTACGACTGAACGGTTGAGTGTAAATGTTTATATTAGGTATCGTTTGTTTTGCCATTCGATTTGGAATACAACGGTATTTGAATTTTTGATATGACATGTTTATTTTAGATTTTATCGCAGAAAACCTGAGTATCAAATTTATGTGGACACCCTGACCTACCTCTTGTAGTGATGACGCATCTGATGAGGAATTTTTAGTTTCATGGATCTTTGTTTCCATCGCCCATTAGAATGTAATTAGCTTTTAGAAAGGAAGATTTGCAATAGCTATAAGGCTTTCAATGTCTTAAAGTATGCATGCTTTGTATGAGATCCATGGAAGAAGGTAATTATAAATTAGTTTAGTCAGTCACCATTCGGATAGAAGCGCCAGTACAGTGGCTTACCTGCTCCCGTTCACTGTAAATAAAGAGGTGTCTTATATGAAGTACGGACCTCGCTTTATGCATCTCCAGCTTTATTAGCTAATGGGGACATTTTCCTTGATTATGATACTGATCCATCAGAAAAATCCTGCCATAGAATAGCAGCTTAAATAAATGCCTTCCAGCTTGAAAAAGCCATGTCCATAAGATATCCTGCTGGTTCCCATTCAGTAGATGGCCATCTTCTTTTATATGATTAACCACGATCCCACGCTACGCTTACCTAGCAAGACGCACTTTTGGGGATTGATATAGGGTATTTCTCTATCAACGGATGTACGGTCAAAAACTCTGAGGCTCTACCGTCCTATCAGCTTTGAGGGCAATCGGCCGAGCCGTTCTCGAGAAGTCAAAAAGGCCCTGCTTGTGCTTACGTGCAGGCAGGCAGAGGCACAGCAACCGTGACACATATGTAAAATGCCTTGCCGGGTGGGCGCCCGCGAGCAGATCAAGTTTCCAATGCAAGCGGCGACCCGGTCAGAGCAAAGTTAATTTTAACAGAAAAAAAATACACCCCTGACAAGTTCGACTAAATCCATCAAGAGAAATCAACATCGCTGCAGATGGGATAGCGCTAACTAGCAGAGAAGACTGTATTCCCAACGGATATTATGGTTGCGAAGATATGAATCATATCAAAAATGTTTCAGATTTGTCGGTGGATTCCCCTGGAAATCTTGCGCTGCATACATGAAAGATGTTCAACAAAACTTATTGCAATAATGCAATAATGCAATAATGCAAAGTTTGCAGCTCTCAGGAGTTTCTTCAGTCTTTGTGGAGCAGAGCCTTTCAACTTTTGCCAGCTTTGTATGCATTTATTTTTACTACTCCAAGCCGAGATTGTTTCTGAAATAAATATTCATATCGGGTCTGCAACAAATGCAGGCCAGACCAGCCACACGAGGACACTTTATTCATGGCGCTACCGCCGGCGTCATATCGTTCATCGGTCGCCTCGCCGCGGGCACGACCGTGGCCATTTATCCAGCCTCTCGGCATGGCGCCCCATCTCCGTTTGAGCTGTTCCCCCACGCCCTCCTTCAGATTCATGCAAACAGCTCGCATAAACTGGCCGCCATGCATGAAGTTTGATATTGATCGAACTTTGGCCGCGATAGATTTACGAAAGTCAGACTCGATAACTTTGAATGGCAGAAATGAGCGCAAGGAACTCGATAGCAGAGCCTTCAGAACTATCAAACTGTCAACTCATTATCGCCTCGCTGCTGCGATTGGCTTGATCTTTTGCGGATGACTGATGCCGGATTGGTCTGAATTAGCTGGTCTGAATCTCAATTTGCAAATAATTAACGAAGCTTATCAGCTGTTTTGAATTTTGAGTGCTAGATACTGTAGGTGACCGTGGTGCCGCCTGCGGATCCGCGAGTCGTCTCCATCCCATTGACCTGTCTAGGGACTCAGACCATCAGCGTTGTTTTGCCCGTTCCGTGCTGATGGGATGACTGTAGCGGCCGGTATGCCGAGCGGCCCCCATGTTCCCAATTACTGGCGGCACGCCTCCCCACCTCAGTCGTCTAGGCGGACGGACAGCACCATCACTCACCGCAATGGGGTCGCCGGTTCAGCCGGTGCAGACAATGTCGAGCGACCAGCCAGGCTGCAGGGATGGCTTCCCTGGACACATTCTGAATAATAGCGAGCTTATGAGCACCCACCTTAGCCAACATTCAGAGTAACGCATCAACTGCCTAGCGTAGCGTAGTGCAGAACGAACAGGGAGCTGGGCGAATTAGCACCTTTCTCTTCTGTCACGCAAGAAAGTGTCAAAATTGCTCACTATCTGTGATCTTCCCATGATTTACTGATCTTTTGAGCCATGCCTGATGGGATGTCATAATGAGGGCTCACTTTCAACGCAGGCGTTCTTATTACTTTACCAGCCCCAGAGGTTCATGGAGCCTTTCCAAACTGTCAGAACTTCAGCCGTTGTGATGCGCAGGCCCACGCTAATGCGCTGCTGTCTAATAGCTTGGAGCGGAACGATGGAACACACGACGGGGCGTGTGTGCGACCTTCTCGAAAACATGTGTTAGGCGAAAGTTGTTCTTTGTGATGAGCAAGTTGTTAATGTTAGCCTGAAATAGGCGCTGGTAAGAGTGGCCTGTGTCATTTATCATAATTGAAGCGTTTCAAATACAGCGATGGATAATTTCATGGCTTTACAATAGCGATAGCTTATGGTTAGAATATATGCGCTTGCCTGATTTGGGCGGTAATTTACAAATGGTAAGTAAACATTGTCAAATGGTTGCGCTTATTTATTAGAAAATGTGTTCCGATCAGAGCTTCATCTGAAACAGTTAAAATCAACGATTGATTGGTTTGAAAACAAGCATTGTATGAGCCTTGTCGGCATTCAAGTTAAAAGCCACCGTGATAAAGGCACTGAAAGAAAAGAGGCCTTTGCCCGTCTTCGCCGAATGCTACCGAATGTCCTGTGGTGACAAAAAAAATAACAATAAACAAGGGACCAATAACAAGTATGTCGCAATATGGTAGATCCAGCTAATGACTTGGAAAGAGCTGTGTATAAGACATAAAATTTGTAGGCTTTATGCCACCAGGGACTTTTAACCAACAAATTGAGCGAATAGCATCACTACACGGATTTCGTCGCTCGCAATTCTGATTTCACAACGCTTGATTCCTAGCCAGTTCAATCTCGCTCCGCAAGCCAATATGAACGTAATAAAACGACTATGAGCCGATAGCAAAAACACCAATAAGCCGGTGGTATGCTGTTGCTGCTTGGCCACAGCATTTTCTCATTCCGCGTACGACGAGACCAAAGGATCAATGTGCCACGGGATAGGGCCAAACCGGGCCGAAAACCGGGTGGAGCGTGCCTGGAACATAGTCGCCGTGGGTAGGTTCATATATACGGCAGGACCGTACCAATTCCCTCTCGCTACCACCAGTACTGGCAGACCGAGAAACGAGGTGTTTGACGCCATGTGCTTTCTTCCAAATATTATCTAATGAACAATGTTTGTGGCATTTCTTTGATTCATTATTTACTTATGGCAGTTTGCTTCTTATGTCATTTGAAGCACACCTTTGCTAATATAATATATATGAGAGTTCATGAGATTTCTTTCTGAACCATAGAACTACAAAATTCCGTAGATTTTAGACCTGCCGGAAGAACAAATACCCCCCCCCCCCACACACACACACACATTTTTTTGATCCACCAGCGCCCACAAGTCACCTTTTCCTGCTTCTTGCTTGGCTCTCCGACTGGCATAGCTATGGCCAGGGTATGGGGACGTCACTGGCCGTCACGCCGATGTTTCTACGTTGCATTATCTCCGGCTGTCCCGAGGAAAGGCGAGCGTCATTGCGACATGACTGCACGGAAGCCCCTCTCAGGAACACCTGTAGACCAGACATAGCCTGAAGAAACTCTGAGTATAGACAGCTGAGTGTGCTCTGTGCACTGTGCTGGTCACCATCCGGACAACACGAGTCTGGCACAATCAGGTACAGCAAACTGGCAAACGATCCAAACGGGCAGCCAGCAGACCCCAAAGGTGTGGATTTGAGATACAGAGTGGTTACGGAATAGACATTGCAGCTGCGTATTTATCAAAAAGAGGAAAAAGAGAGGAAGGACAGAGTAAGAAAGGAAGCCACAGAGAGACAGACCGAGAAAAAGACTGAGAAATAGAAAGAGGGAGAGAGAGAGAGGGAGAGAGAGAGGGAGAGAGAGAGAAAAAAAGAGATTAAGTGCGATAGTGATAAGGCGAAACAGAGAAAGACAGAGCAAGAGATATACATTATACAATAAAATATAAGTTTTACTTGCTTACGCCAGCTCAAAGTGCTTACGTAGGAGGGAAGTATGGCTTTCAATGCCCGATAAAAGTGCACCTGGGAGACTACACTTGACGGTTATCGGCTCCGTGACAGCACCCGGATAAAACTATACAGAATTAGACTCGGTAGTGCGCCAGTGCCGTCACATGCAGCCACCAATCGACCAATCAGCGAGCGCCACGTCACGCACCACTGAACAGCGATTGGCCGCTACGGTCACGCAAAAAAGAGGCGATGGTGAAGAGATGAGCCCAACTCATCACGAGCGGTTCCAGGACAGACGGAAAGGTGGCAGGAAGCTTATCTGTAGGATTCTGGGAACAGGGAAAAGTCAAAGTGCAATTACTGCGTGTGTTGAGGTTATTTGAAGACGGAGGTGACGCTTTGACGATTCTTCAGCTTGGCGAATTTCGTAGATCATTGATACGAGATAAGTAGCATCTGACGGGTCTTGAAGCCTCAATTTCACGCCGGAAGCTTCGTGGGATGGTCACTCGAAATCTCAATTCTAAGCTAATTTTAAAGTGGGATGGTCACTTAACACGAGACAAAGGCTTTATGAATGCTGGCGGAAGTAACCTTTAACTGCACTTTCGATTTTGCAACATCATATGTATATTGTATATTAATGCATATGCTGTCCGAATGGGTCAGTGTGGACTACACTGTATATCCTAGACCCCACAGACTAATGTCTGTATGTTCCACGATAAATAAGTGCGATCCACCTCTGCCCCTGTGACTGCGACTTGTTCCTATCACCCAGACTGGTAGGTGTGGCCCAGACTTGTCCCTATTGGTCCACGCTGATTCGCATGGTCCGTATGGTCCCGCTCCCGGGCAGGACGGGACCAGACAGACGGCAGGCAGACTCATCGGTCACCTCCGCGTCCGTCCAGTGGGGACGGGGAGGGGGTGAGAGGGGGACGGGCAGAGATTCGGGGAGAGGGTGGTTAGAGAGAGAGAGAGAGAGAGAGAGAGAGAGAGAGAGAGAGAGAGAGAGAGAGAGAGAGAGAGAGAGAGAGAGAGAGAGAGAGAGAGAGAGAGAGAGAGAGAGAGAGAGAGAGAGAGAGAGAGAGAGAGAGAGAGAGAGAGAGAGAGAGAGAATTCCATGCTGGGAAAGGGAAGTGAGGGAGAGTGAGAAAGTGCAGACTGCAGACACACCTTTTAACGCACATTCGCACTACACTGCCAGTGCCCTTATCCGAAAATCGACTGTGTTACTGGACAATGTCACTTGCATCTAACAATTAGGCCAGCGGGTTCTGCACAGCACAAAATCACCGCGCCACTTTCCCAATGTGTGGTAGAATAATTATCAGACTCAGAGTGCGCTTTGGATCGGGCGCGCGAAAATGGGATTCACCGCAGACTAGTTTTTTTACGGCTGGACATGGAGCACTGAATGGGTCCGCCCACAGCGAGCAGCCTCGGCAGCTAGCGTGTTCTATCCCTGGTGTGTATGAAAAACACCGCTGGCAGCGTCAGCCCCGCGCCGCCTGTCCCACGGCAGGGTTTTCCCAGGGCGGCGACAAAACAGCTCGCCTTTCGCAGCGCCGCGGCGCCGGCCCGGCCATTTATTATTCATAGCGACTGCCCAAAGTCTCGCGGCAGCCCCGCAGTATGGGTGACAATTTTGACAACGAGCTGCGCCACGGTCAACACGGCGACTTCTGCCGCGCGAGACGGCAAACGCGGCGCATAGTAAACGGTTCGTCTGAACTTTGTGCCTGTCTGGGACGTTGGTTTAAAGAATACACCGGCTCGCCAGGATCTAGGTCAGGCTGATTAGGCATTAGTGCGGAAAAGAGCTCTTGGCGAGTTTAGAAAATGACGCTGCTCGGGTCGTCAGTTGGTGGCGGTGCCTTCAGCTGATAGCGGTGAAATATTGAGGAAGATCTTATATTATTGAGACGGCGTCCTTTTGTGGAAGACGAATGGTCCATTAGCCCCTGGACCGGCGGCGCCATATATCAGCCACTTGTGAACGCGGCAGCCCACCGCACCGATAATGGAATAGAAAAGTCGGCACCTCCGACACTCGACGTGTTGCAGAGATACCCCGCAACAGGGAGCTAGTAGTTATCTAACTTTTTTATAAGCACTTACTACGTCACAGTTCTTATAGTAGTTGAGATTATGCTAGGTTTGGTTTCACGTTTCTACATGGAATCCGTACGCCATTAGTCTACCAAAAAGTGGTTATTACCCCTTCGTGGTTAGTACTCAGCACTCGTAGATCACTCGGGTGAGGTGGGAATTTAGTGTTTATTCCCCACTTTAAAATACAACCCTTGAGTTCATCTAACTATCCATTTCCGCCGATATTGATATGTTGCTTGCAATCGCATGCTGAAAGAAAGGCAAGAAAACATCAACACATTTCCACTGTATAAGCTTCACAAGTTGAAAAGCTGTGTTTATGCAGATTTTCTCAAACAAAGAAACCTATTTTTAGGAACAGCGTCACCCTCACTGTTGTTGATTGGCGGATTACTCGATCACAGAATAGCACTAAGCTGTGATGTCGCTCCTAATTGCCCCTTGTTAACCGTGTTTGCAACAGTGGATATCCGCAAACATGCGACAGATTTAAATTCAGTGCAGGGTTTCCTTGTTTGGCGATGCATCGCCATTTGGCCAGTTTCTAACTTGTACCTTCATGACAACATGGGTAATTGGCGACTTGATGTAATATTGCAAAAATGAAAACTCTTTATTTTGCCCGGTGTTAATACCAATGGGTAAAAAACTGAATCATAAAATGATAAAAGTTCTGCATTTGTCAAGGAAAGTTACATATTTTCTGTGAATTATTATTATAAAAATGATAAAAAGGACAGAAAAGGCGAAGCATATTACATTTGCGTCAACTAAACAAAATTATGAACCAAGGACGTAGCTTGATAAAAGAAAATTGGTCGCTCATCGTGACCAGCTACTTGCTTATTGTGTCTGTCGACTATCATTGAGTCATGCAGTTGTCTTCTTGTCATCAAAGGATAATGAAACAGTGTTCAATTCAAATCTAACGGCATCGACATCGTACGAACGGCATCGACATCGTACGAGCATTGTGCTTTTACGATAGATGCATAAAACATGTTTTCTTTTGTTCCAGATAACGACGTACCAAGGAAGATTGGATTCAGAGACCCACCAACAACCTACTCAGACACAAAAAGACAAGCCAAAACTTCCATCTGGAGATCCGCTTTGAAGCTGCAACAGGAGTACAAAACAACGTCAGGCGTCGATTCGCCATTCCGGATATTGGACGCTTTCATTGCGTTGGGCTTTCGTCCTACTGCGTGCCAAACATCCGGACTGGATCAGGCGTTTGAAAGGTTGAGGGCTGTTTTTCTCCAGGCAACTGAATTGCTGAGCTGACGGCTGAAAGAAAATGATGTGAGCTTTGACCTGCTGCAATACCGAGAGGAAACCTTTCATATTTCTGTTGCTACCGTGGCAAAGGTTCCACCATGGCGGGAACTCTGTACCGAAACTGCACAATGCTGCAGATACTGGAGAACGACACCACCAACTGCCTCCAGGTGACCAGCTCTGCCGACACCTACAAGGTCATCAACGCCATACTCTACGCTCTCGTCATGATTATCGGCCTCAGCGGCAACACGCTCGTCATCTACGTCATCCTGCGCTACAGCAAAATGCAGACGGTCACCAACTTCTACATCTTCAACCTGGCGCTGGCGGACGAGATCTTCCTCATCAGTATCACGTTCATCCTGACCACCATGGCGCTGGGCCGCTGGCCGTTCGGGCTGGTAGTGTGTAAGATCTACTGGACCATCACCAGCATCAACCAGTTCACCAGCAGCCTCTTCCTGACGGTGATGAGCGCCGACCGGTACCTGGCGGTGTGCCACCCCATCAGCTCCACCCGCTGGCGCACCCCGATCGTCTCCAAGATCGTCTGTCTGACCGCCTGGACCGTGAGCTCCCTGATGGTGGTGCCGCTCTTCATGTACGCGGCGGAGTACGAGGGCAAGTGCAACATCTACTGGCCCGACTCGATCGGAGGAGAGAAGGCCTTCACACTCTACACCTTCGTGCTGTCGTTCGCTATCCCGGTGGTGCTGATACTCATCTTCTACATCTTTGTCATCAACAAGCTGCGTCACGTCGGCCCGAAGAACCGATCGCGGGAGCGCAAGAAGAGCCATCGCAAGGTGACGCGCCTGGTGCTGACCGTCATCACCGTCTACTTCTTCTGCTACCTGCCCTTCTGGGTGACCCAGCTGACCATGATGCTCTCCCAGGAGTCGCGCGTCCGCCACAGCCCCGTGGTGGTGTGTGTGATCCTGCTGGTCTACATCCTCACCTACTTCAACTCGGCCGTCAACCCCATCCTGTACGCCTTCCTCAGCGACAACTTCAAAAAGTCGTTCGTCAAGGCATGTCAGTGCGCCCGTCTGCCCGACGTCAACAACGTCCTACAGGTGGAGAACTCGGTGTTTCCGCGCCGCAGCGGCGCCAAGCAGGTCGAACAGCGCGAGATGGAGGAACGCGGTCTGTCGGCCGACCCGAGCACCGGTCTCACAGGCCTGGTCACCTCGCGCTCCTACAACCGCGTCTGCCTGAACGAGGCCACCTCCAACGGCCACCTGACACTCAAAGTGCCCGCATCGGCTACCAGCATTTCAACCTGCTAATGAACTTCTCCAGAATGATAGACGCAATTACAGGGTATTGTGTGGTTGCTGCAAAAAAGACATTTATTAGCCAGGGTATGGCATGGACATTGGACTTGATATCAACATGTTTTCTGTGTAACCTGCGTCACTGTAGGACAATCATAAGACATTCCTTTTGGTGTTTACATGTATGTGTTCAAATATATGTACAGAGTGGGCTGAGCAGCCCGTGACGTGCATCTACGGCATCACAACTCCGTCAGCTGGTCAATAGGACCGGCAAAGAGCTGAGTCCCCTAGATCACTTCCTGACCACTAGAGTCAGGAGACCGCTGCCTAAGGGGCACGGCATTCATATCCACCGCCTCGCGAGACTTAATTGTAACATTATGACGTGGTGTTATATGTAAGCAAACAGATGGCTAATGTATCATTGAGCCACGATCACTCGTGAAGGTGGCATGAACATTGAACAATCAATTGAATGTTCGATTGAAACACAATGAATATTCAAAGCAGTCCGTGTCATGAGTCTCTGAGGCCTGTCATCTTTGTTGTATGTTGCGGTATGCGTTAGAAGTTTGTGATGAGGTATTGTCTCATCTCCCTGATGCGAAAGGAGTATTTTCAATGGACTCCCTGAAGCATATAACTGTGTAAATGTAAAACCGCGTTTGTGCATAGTCACCCGCCAGCCCTCAACACCGGTGTCATGATCCATCGCACACGGTAGAAATATATGTATCCTATGTCATATCAAGTGGCTTTTATACCTTGACCCAACAATCGGCACAAGTTATTGAAAATGGAACATAGAGACAGCAGTGAAGTAGAACTACCACCTCATGAAGGTGGAGTGACATTCAACCTCCCATTTGCCATGAGGGCATTTTATTTGTCCCTATCACTTTTCGTTCCTGCCGGGCAATGAACATTGAGACTTAAATCGCGCAACCATAATATCTAACAGCCTGACGTCTTTCTAAAAGTATGTCATGTCTGCAACAAATACCGGACAGCTCCCCCAGTTAATAAAAAGCGAGAAATATTGGCCGTCATTCCGGGACCAGCTCAGACCAGCTGTCGACGGCTCATGACTCGTCCGGGCTGCAGCTACTGGACCCTCCTCAGACTGTCGCCGGCAGAGATTGGCCGACTGATGACGTCATCTGTGACCTCTGTGATTTATGACGTAATCAGTGTCGGCGCGCAATCTGTGCGGCAGGGCCCGGCTCGCGTATTGGGCGGATCGATACGGTATCTCACTGAGTAGGTGGCCGGAACTGCACGTGCAGCGCGGCCCTGTTGGAATGGAGGACGGAGGTAGATGAACTGTTCAGACATTTTACTTGATTTGTCATTTGCGAAGTATAGGGGAAGTTGGGGGAACGCCGAAGACTTTTTTCTGACGCCCGTAGCACGCAAGGTAGACAACATAAGCTATTCTTGTTGGCGTCATTCGAGAGGCCAGTCTTTTGCCTTTCAAACATACCAGGCGCATTTGATGAATTCGCATACCGTTAAGCGCACAAACTAAAAATATCAAAGAAGTGACTTTTTCGGCGTTGCCCCGGACTGCGGGGAAAGCCGAAAATGGGAGAAATGATCTACGGGGAATGCCGACATTGATGTTTTGCCATTTTATCTCAAACTTTATCCAGAATTGATCAAAGCTGACACGCGTTTTAAGAGCTTGAGGACGCGGTGCACACTGGAAGTTATAATTGTGTGATATAATAAGAACATGCCAGGTAAATCATTCCTTATAGGTAACAGGCCGCTGTGTCGGTTGAAAGTGTAATTTGTGTGACTAAAAATACGCGTTGCTATTCTACAGCAGTAAAGTCCACGTAGCGTGCTTTTAACACGTGCGTAATCGCACGTTTTCGGCATTACCCCAGCCTGCCATACTTTCATTTGCAGGCCCATAACTTTTCAACGTGCTGTATAAATTTCAAATAGGCAGCACACTTATGCAAAGACATGCTAAAGATTACTTGACCGAATTGGCCAGACAAACGGTAGCATAATGAGTAAGAAATGCAGCTTCAAAGGCGCATGTAGTACAAGGGAAACGTACCTTGAAAACGCTCTTGGCGCCCTCACAGTCGAAGCATTCCGAATGACGACTCGTAATAACAAACATGCGATAATTGTAGTCACTTAAGCTTCAGAGCATCACTGACAGGTGGCATCCATGTCTTACGGTTTTCGAAATATCTCGAATTTCGGCTTTGCCCCAACTCCGGCATTGCCCCAACTTCCCCTAAGCTCAATGATAATATAGGGTAAATTCAACGTAACAGCGCAATATTCGTTGGTCTGTTTATTCTATTTTTCATTCAAGGACGATTTGCTTTTGCATATATTCTGAATGCTATAGTTTTATAAACAAAGGGACTATAACATAACATAACATAACATAACATATATTACAATGTAACAACAGGCTACAGGAGCCCAACAAGGTTACAAGGATGATATACACAATGATGTACACATTCATGCACACTGAACATGATTTACATGACAATGAATGCAATGAGTGAATCCTAACAACGAAACCTATCAGAGTTGTCTACGTCTTCAATGGTGTCAAAGACCGCACCACGCTCCGTAAAATACAAATCCACGTTATATTTGAATTCGTTAAGGGAGGAACTATCAATAACCCAAGCTATTCCACATATCAATGACGCGGTTAGTAAAAAAGGATTGCCTTAAACGCGTTTTTGAAAATTTCTTTACCAATTTACATCCATGTCCTCTAGTAGAGTTCGAACTTATCGTGAATAAGCTCTTAAAATCTAGTTAGCTTATCAATACCTCTATAAATTTTGAACAATTCAATCAAATCACCTCTCACTCTCCGGTGATGGAGTGAAAACATATTTAACGAGACAAGCCTTTCTCTGTAAGTCATCCCGCGAAAACCACGCACCATCCTAGTGGCCTTCCTCTGCACACGCTCTAGAGACTTGGCGTCTTTTTTAGATTCTAAGCGAGTACCATGCCTGTGCACAATACTCTAAATGTGGACGAACAAGAGAACAATACAGTTTTTTCATAACGTCTTTACTTTTATAATTAACGTTTCTATATAGTACTCCCAACATTTTCAGAGACTTTTTACGGGCTTCTTGACATTGATGACTGAATTTTAGATCATTTGTGATTAAAACACCTAAATCTCTTTCTTCAAAAACATTTTGCAGTTGACTGGCGTTTAAATAATATCGATCATTTTCATTTACCCCAACGCTAAGAATTTTGCATTTCTCTACGTTAAATTCCATCTGCCATTTTCTGCTCCAATTCAAAAGAATGTTTAAATCTGATTGTAATGTTTTCATGTCCTCGTCTGATGTAATTGCTTTTGCCAGCTTAATGTCATCAGTAAATTTCCAAAGCCTACTGCTTAAATTATTATCCAGAGAGTTTACAAAAATAATAAAGAGCAATGGGGCTAGAACCGTACCTTGTGGTACACCACTCTTAACCTCCGCCCACTCAGACTGTTGTCCATTCAAAACAACTCGCTGCTTACGTCCTACCAGCCAGGTCTCTATCCATCTAAGGAGGAAACCGTCTAAGCCATGACACTGTAATGAAACTAATAATCTTTGATGTGGAACCTTGTCGAAAGCTTTACAAAAATCTAAATACACTACTGCTACCTTCCGTCCCCTGTCTAATAGCTCTGTTACATATTCGAGAAAGTCTAGCAAATTTTTCAGACACGATCGTCCAGCTCTGAATCCATGTTGAGAAGGCAATAAAAGTTCATTTTGCTCTAAGTGATTCAGTATATTACATTACTATAAAATAATATAGGGGCAAACGGACTATAACATCATATAACAATTAATTTCAACCTAGTTATATATAAAACTGTCAGATGCTAAGATAATCGAAGCAGGTTTTGGAATTTATTCTGATTACAGATAAAATCGGCACATTGTGCACAATTCATGCCGAGGGCGTTTATGCTTTGTAGCACGCTACATCTTGACCATCTAACGTAGTATCTTTTCGGCACGGTCGGCCCGGTGACGCGCAGCTGAGCAGAGCGCTGCCGCACGCTTCCCTCCCTTGTCATTATTCCCTTTCTCCTCCCACCCGTCCCCAGGTCCACCCTCCCCAATCATTTCTCACTGTCCGCACAGAATGTGCCGCCATTAAACTCCAATTAAGACAAGCACCTCTGAAGACAGTCACATCAGGATGAGTCATTGGTAGTCATTACAAAGCAGCTGAAGCTACAAGCAAACGTCGGCACACTGTGAGACCACGCGCAGGCTTAAGGCACGTAGCACATTGGGTCTCACGTAGCCATGGTAGCACAACAGGGCGTCTCACTGCAACGGAATCTGCTAAACTTAGCAAACAGACGTAGTTCAGGACGTCTCCACTGCGGACAGAAAGCGCTGTTGTCCGAAACAAACGTAGTTCAGGACGTCCCCACCGCGGACAGAAGGCGCTGTTCTACCGACCCTCCCAACCAAGATGACGTCAGTGGGCGGAGCAAGAGTGACGTCACAAGGGGCGTTGCCGGCAGACGAAACGGAAGGAAACAAAAGTTTGAATAAAATGAAATTGAAGAATCAAAATTAAAACTCGAAAATCACCAACCTTTCGGGGATTGGTTTATGCCAGCGACTACTAAGATGATAAAGCACTCAACACGAAGACGATTCGACGGCCAAAATTGCAGACACAGAGGAGCAAGGTGACTAAACAGGACAGAGGGCGCCATCTTACGGGCCCACCCACAAGAGGAAGGCAGAGGAAGATGACGGCGCAAGGGCGTGGCAGTCACCCCCTCCCCCCAAGCTATAAAAGGGTGCACCACCCAACCGGGAGACACAGTCGAGCAGCCGAGAGACACAGTCTGCAGCCGGAGCCGGAGACGCCATCTGGGAGCCGCCGTCAGTCCGGGGTCACCCGCGAGAAGTCTCTTCAGTTCGAGCGCAGAGGAACTCCAGAATGTGAGTGCTGCTGAAAAGTCTGCTCAATCCCAATCCTTGACCCCCCCCCCCTCTGCCCAGCCTGCCGTGCCGTGACGACTGCCAAACATTTTCGGTTGCCATAAAATGCACTCTCAATTGGAATTGGAAAACTTAAATTACTTTGAACTTATTGGTCCAGACACCCTAGTTGCATATTAGGATCTGAATTGTGAGGTCATGTCAGAGCCGCCAGTAAATAGGTACGTTATTGTCAGTTGGAGTTCACGATTAGGCCGGGAGCGAGATGCTAAAATTTGAATAAGCAGCTCATTGTCACGAACGTTGAGATTGATGACATGATGCATGTCAGCATTGGATAATGAATATGTGTTTGTGTTTGGCCAAGCTGGTTCGTTGATTTATTATCGGCGGTAGTCAGGTGCGATTAAGATTTGAGGTTGGGAAGTTTGTAAAATTAAGGATGTAGATTCATGCTGTACTCACTAAAAGTTGCATTGCGAAATCATTGGTAATATTGCTATAGGAATTAATTGCGAAGTCGAAGTCAATTATAGAACAGGTAAATACGTTTGGAAAGGGATGAAATGTTTTAAGGTGGCGACTGATTCATGCAATCGATCTATGGATATGGCTATGAGTTATGATTTTCGACAGATACGAATGCTTGAGCTTACGACGGAATTTCTTCTGTTACTTAGGTGCAGAGTTGAGAGTCGTGGTTTGAGGTCGACGGTCTGACACTTCGCGACTTGAGATGGTCCTTGTACTTTGCGTCAGTGAAATTGCGAAATGTCGAGTAATAGGTAGATGTAGAATTGTTTGGGATTAGAACTAATATGCGACTAATATAGGTACCGATCGTTGTGCTTTTGTAGAATAAATAATAGAAAAGACCATCTTTGTTGGGA